TTGTTTTTATTACTTTAATTTGTTATTGTAATTACATTACTTAGGTTTTGTCCCACACGTTTTATTAAGTGTTTTCTGGTTAGAATTCACTGTAAACCTAACAATCTAAAGGGATTAAATTTTTGGAATTGTCAAGTATGTCTAGTGTGAAGGAACTTACAACTAACTTCGTCAAACTCAAGAAGTTTGATGGTGTTGAATTTAGGAGATGGAAGAAGAAGATGTATTTTCTTCTTACATCTCTTAATGTTGTCTATGTTATAAGTACTCCAAGGCCAAATGAACATGAGAATGAGACCTTGGAATCCGTTCGGGAAAGATCGAAATGGGACAACGACGATTTTATTTGTCGTGGTCACATCTTGAATGGGATGGAGGATGACTTGTTTGATATCTACCAAAATGTGGAGTTGGCTAAGGAGCTTTGGGAGTCCTTAGAGAGCAAATACATGATGGAAGACGCTTCAAGAATGAAATTCTTGGTTAGTAATTTTAATAATTATAAGTTTGTTGATGGTCGGTCCATAATGGACCAATTTCATGAATTACAACGAATCTATGGGAACTTAAAACAACATGGTATTTCTATGGATGAATTGTTTGTTGTTTCAAGTATAATTGACAAGTTGCCTGCTAGTTGGAAAACTGTTAAGCATGAGCTTAAACACAAGAAAGAGGACATGTCTTTGTCCGAGTTGGCCACCCATCTTCAAGTTGAAGAAGGGATAAGAGCCATGGAAAGTGCTAAGGATGGGAATCCTAGCTCATCTACCATTAATTTGGTAGAGGAAGGAAAAACTAGTGCTTCCACTAGTGGAAAGAGAAGTATAATACCTCTTTCAAGGGAAAGTCCAAGAAGCAAGCAAACAATAACAAGTTTGCTTGTTGGGAATGCGGTAAAGTTGGTCACCGCAAGAAGGACTGTTTTTCTTTCAAGGGATGGAGAAAGCCAAGGGAGGGTCATGCTAGTACTAGCAAGACCAACCCACCCAAAGGTTAATCCAATTCATGAGGTTGATTTAATTCCGGTTTGGATTTAAATGCAACGGATCCTAACATTTTTATGGTGCAGGATGATGACTCATGGTGGATGGATTCGGGGGCTTCAAGGCATGTATGCAAGATGAGGGCATTGGTTCAAAACCTTTCACAAGGTTGGTGATGGAGAAGATCTCTTTATGGGAAACAATTCAACCATCAAGGTCCTTGGTAGAGGACAAGTAGAACTAATGTTTAGTTCGGGGAATGCAATCATTCTTAGGGATGTGTTCTATGCTCCGGATATTAGTCGGAATCTTGTATCGGGGGCCTTGCCTGAATAGTCTTGGCTATAAACTAGTGTTTGAAGCTAATAGGTGTATTATTACTTAGAGGAACAAATTTCATAGGGTCGTTGTTATTTTATTGTAATGGATTATTTTAAGCTTTCTTTGAAAGACATGTATGGATTTGATGATGTTTGTTTGAATGTTGATGCAAGTGATAATCATGTTGTTTTTAAATTTGTTTTGACTTGTGGCATTCTAGATTAGGACATGTGAATTATAATAAAATGTTTTTTCATGTCCAAACAAGAGTTGATTCCATGTTGTGATATTTCTCCTAATAAGTGTTCTACTTGCATGTTGAACAAGATCATTAGAACTCCATTTAAGAGAGTTGAGAGAAGTTCTAACATTTTAGAACTATCCATAGTGACTTGTGTGATTTTCATAGTACGCCTTCTTTGGGAACAAAGATACATGGTTACTTTTTATAGATGACTATTTTCTAGATTTTGTTACGTGTATCTTTTGCATTCCAAAGATGAAGCTTTAACCAAGTTTGATATTTATAAAAGGGAAGTAGAATTGCAAGTAGATTCACTTATTAAGAGAATTAGAACTGATAAGGGAGGGGAATACTATGATCCAAGTTATTTCAATCTTTGGGTATAATTCATGAGACTACAGCTGGTTATGCACCACAATCAAATGGTGTAGCTGAAAGGAAAAACAGAACCCTAGAAGAAATGGTTAATTCCATGTTGTCTTACTCAGGTTTGAGTGAAGGGTTCTGGGGTGAAGCTATGTTGACAGCATGTCACATTCTTAACCGAGTTCCCACAAAGGGAAAAGAAATCTACTCCTTATGAACTTTGGTACAAGAGAAAAGCCAAACTTGAAGTATCTCAAGGTTTGGGGTTGTAGGGCAGTCGTAAGAGTGCCCGGCAACAAGAAAAGAAAGCTCGGTGAAAGGGGCTTGGATTGCATATTTATAGGGTATGCTGAGCATAGCAAACCTATAGGTTCTATGTAATAGAACAAAATGACTATATATCTGTTCATTCAGTTATAGAGTCAAGAGATGCAATTTTTTGATGAAAACCGATTTTCATCAATAAGTAGACCAAAAGATCTACAAATTAGTGCCAATGATAGGGAGATAGTAGAGTTGAATGATCAACTTGAAACTCATGAAAGTACATTCAATAATGAGGATGTTGAAACTCCTCAATTAAGGAGAAGTACTAGAGAAAGGAAAATTAGGGAATCCTCTAGATGACTTCATAATTTATTTGGTTGAAGGATCTAGGGATGTCCTTAGTTCCACTACTCCATATTGTTTCAATGTGGATAGTGACCCAAAACTTATAGTGAAGCAATATCTTCCCAAGATAGT